AACACAATCTGATGGGGATTAATCCAATCCCTTGCTTGGGATATAGATGCCTCTGAAATGATAGAGCATCCAAAACAATGCCTCCCAAAATGAGGACAAAAAACATGCCAGATTCTCTTGCTTTGTGGGCCTCCACATAGTCCGATCGGTATTTTTATTTAATTTTTGTAAACTCTCTGGAATCTCAATTGTGAGGAAAAGAAAATAAGGAAGAAAACAAAATAACACACACTAGAAAATGTTTCAGTCTTTTTCTTCAAGGCTGGTAAAGGAAGTGCACATGAAATCATTTTCACTTTAGGGAATGGGCATACTAATAAAGCACCTCAAAATATTGTCCTTGCATATGAATAAGGGGCTCCACTCATCTTCTGCAAGGCTCCAACATTTTCTGGTATGGCCAGTGGATAGAACTTGGCCCACATTGGTCCTTTCTTCATCCATCAAGGTATAAAAGTGCAACATATTTAGAGGATCATGACTTCTTATTTTAGGAAAGGACATAGCCCTTATTTCACATATCTTGTTTTTATTCCCTGCCTTATTCCAAGAGGCATATCAAGCTTGTCAATTCTATGAAGCAGGCTTGGCAAAATAAGAGAGAGCAGGCTTTTCACTCCATGGAAGATGGCCAGATTAGATGCTGCATTCCAAAGTAAGCAAAAATATTCATCTTTAGACGTTGGTGATGATGGTAAAGGGATCAGTGACAAAGTGCTGGATCTCTTCCCTCCAACTGTTTCCTACTCAAATAATTTCCCATCTTTCCACATCCCACTTTCAAAGTACTTAGGATTTTTTTGTCTACAATTCACTGAATCCTCACATCATGGTAAGTGAGTCACTCCTGGGAATTATAATCCAAAAAGGGAAATTTTCCAGTCTCTGTTACAAATGGAGATAAAGCAATTAGGGCAAGAGATTTTAAATGAAGGTGAGTGAGCATCTTTCTTCTTTTGCTCCCTCTCTAAAAAGTGTTGGGAGAAAGTATTGTCTGTTTTGTTTGACCCTGAACTGAACTTTTGAATATTTTTCCTATTCCATAACTATTTCTAATCTTAAGGCTATTATTGTGTGTACTACAAATCAAAACCAAGAGAACAAGCATAAATTATACAAGAAATATTATGAAGTCACATTTTGCACTCATACCATTACATTTTTTTTCTATTTCCACTTAAAAGCAGGATGCTTTATTTATTTGGGCATTCCATTAGCCAAGGTGATACATCAAAGCCTTGAACAACAAAGTACAAAAATGAAACATGACAGCTTTAGTAAATATTCCCAGCATGAACAGGTTCCAGAACGGAATATTAGGAATTCATAGGAGCTGTAACATTTTTGTTCCCTTTTTCATCTTGTTAGGATTAGAATAGCATTAAACCAATTAAAGGTTACTCTGTTGTTGCAGGAAAAGTATCATGCAGCTTTTCAATAACATCACTGCATTGCTGGCTCACAAGAGACTCAAACTGCTTTATTCATGAGCACCGTGCATTAAATAATAAGAGCTACTCTTGCTTAGAAATTATGATTATAGTTTTTCATGTTGATTCTCTCTTTGTAAAGGAGCTGAATAATATAATGATGCTGTCTGTGCTCAAAGACCAAGAAAAATTCTCATTTGTTCTGAATTCTATTGATATAATTGCAAGCCTAAATTAGCATAGCACCATTGTATTAATGGAAAAGTGGTAAGTTAACACTTATGCAGGTTTCAAGGATTCAATCCATCTACAGAACTTGCAAAGAACAACTGGATGAAAGTCATTGTTTACCAATTCCTATAGCTCTGTTCCTGCCATAAAGCAATTATTAAATGGCCAATTTTACAGTAGGGTAGATATTCTGTTTTGAGGTAAAAATCAGGCGATGTAATTGAATTAAACATAAAGACAGGATATTATGTGAATTCTAGGCCAGCAGAATAGACTACGAAATACCTTACCAAACTACAAATCTCAGTGTTCCATAGAGGACCCAAAACAGTTGAAGTTGTGAGACTCATATAACTCACTATTGCAGATTGGATGGATATATTATCAGCCATTTGTATAAACTATCAAATTACTTAAAAAGCAGATGAAATGAGGAATACAAAATATACTTCTTTTTCTTTAGAAATAACAACAACGACAACAACAATGACAATTTACATAGTCCAACAACAACAACAACAAATATTCGTGTCTTAGTTTTTAGGCCTTTTCCTGGGGTGATTCGGGGTGTTGATTCATAAAATTGCGTCGATAGACCGTATCAGCTCTAGTTTTTTAGATATGGTGTGAAGAATGACTGGAAAGTTTGTATTATAAATCTGTTCTTTTGGTATGAAAGAAGTAGATTTTCACATAATACTCTCCTTTAAAATGTAGTATGTTTCCTTCATGCTTAAAAGGAATTACTTTAAACACTACATTAAAATATACTGATTTTTTATGGATGAGCAGAGTGAAGAGTTGGCATATGTTCTTGTTATCTCAATAACTAAAGTTGACAGGGAAAAACTGGTGCAATTTTTTGGAATCAGTGTGTTGGTCAGTGCTATCAAAGGTGGGATGCTGAGGCTGAAAAAGGCTTAACGCCATTTGGTAAATGCATAACTGAGATGGGAATTCAACTGGGAAGCTTCATATTTCACAGCTCAGTCATAATTAACAGTTCTGTTCTTCCCTAGATCAGTCTCATAACCCACTCTAATACACCAGTTCTCCTCGATGAGAGTACATTGCAGATGTAATAGTTTTATGCTACGCTAACTGTCAACATAGAAAGTTCATCATGGCAACACACCAGTGTTGTTCTTCTTTGACAAGCCATCTGTGAAGTGCTGTCTGATGGAGCTCTTCTAAGTGGTCTCTGGACTTGTCTCTGTGAGAGGCAGATATGTTTTAGTACGCTGCCAAGTATGTCTCATATTCAAGATAATCCATCTAGTTTGACATCAGAATAAGAATTCAGGAGCAAAAAACTTATGCTAAAAAGTGAGGGAATTTTGCTAACTGACATACTGAGTCTGCATGGAAAGAAATCAGTGACTGCCTATGGTTAATCAAAATAGATACAAAGCTGGTTGGAAAAGGACTAAAAATGGGGGAACAAAAACCCGGAGCCACCTTTTTTTGATAATGATCAATCAAATCCCTTGAACAGGATGTCCCGGAATGAGGCGTGGGAAATCCATCACCCCACACTCCACATCGCCTGGCTTCCCCCTTACCCTAGTCCATGGGAGGAAGCATCCACTGCCCGGCTTCTCCCCATTGATCCTAATGCAACACAGGTAGCCTCCTATGATGTCACAGTGGCAGCATACACCAGTTCCTCTCCCCTTTTGCCTTGGAGAACCACTGGAAGTAGATGTACATCATGGGATGGGAGCCATGACAATTTAGCCCATTTGATGAGGTTGTTAATGTTATCCACATTATCACATCCATTATTATCATAACAACAAGGCATCTTCTACCTTTCCATTAGCACTGAATAAAAAAGCTTTCAGCTCATGTTCTCATACTGTTCCTCTCCATCTCCTCCAGTGCTGCCTACTTGGAAACTGCCCTTTAAATGGTAAGGTAAAATGCAGTCCCTCTGACATGAGAAACCAGATGCCCCTTGCTGCCACTACCTTATACTGGCATCCTTAGACATCTGAGACCAACCTCAGACAACAGTCAGCTATCCAAAGCTTTATGCCCCCTCTTTCAGTGATCTGCTATTAACAACTATGGGTGCATCTACAGTGCAGACTTAGGGTGCTTCTAGACAGAGAAGAAATGTGTGCCAAGTGGGCTTTCCCAGGGAGGTGTCTAGATGCCATCCCGGTAACTACTGGGATGGCACCCAGCCACATTGAAGTTCCCCAAAAGAACCCTTAATTTTTTTTTAAAAAACTTAATGGGCTACAATAGAAATGACGTGCCAGGAGGAATTGGGAGGGGGGGGAGTAAAATCATTTACCCGTGGCCTGGTAAGTCTTTTTTAATTTTAAGGGGGGCTGTTGGGGAGGAGGTGGGTGTCATCCCACACCTTTGGGCGACAGGAGGCCCAATTTCCCATTAGACTCAGGCCTTTCAGGAAGGCCCAGATCTAATGGTGTACCTAATTAATTTGGTTTTACTGGAGGCATCATTTGAATGCCTCTGGTAAAACCAAATCAGGTCTTGGTTTAAACGTCTGTCTGAATGGACCCTTAATTCAATTTAAAACCACTTTAATTGCCATGGCTCAATGCTTTTTTAAAAAAAATCTTTATTAAGTTTTTTCTTAAAATATGCATATAGGTAAAAGTAGTGAACGAATAGGAAAAGAAAAAAGAAAAGAAAAAGAGAACAAAAAATAGAATAATAAAATAAAATAGGAGTATCTTGACCTCCTGATGTCTTCTGAGAATCTTCTGTTCGATCTCGTTCTGAGAAAAATAAAACTCTTTATTTTCTTTCTGTTCTCTTAATCTTTCCCTTCTTTTATTAAGTTTCCATCTTCATTTCTCTTTTTCAATTTAAAACCACTTTAATTGCCATGGCTCAATGCTGTGGAATCCTGGGATCTGTAATTTGGAGAAGCACCAGCACTCTTTGGAAGTGAAGACTAAAGACCATGAAAAACTGCAACTTCCATGATGCCATAGTATTGAGCCATGGTGGTTAGAGTGATGTTAAACTGTGTAGATACACTCTAACCCTAACACTTGAATGAAAATATATTGCACTTTAAGGTTTGGTGAGCTACTGGGCATGCAAGCCAAGCAATTCTGGGAAATGTAGTCCAAAAATTGCAATTCCAGATTGTGCTTTTAACAGCTTGCTGCATTGATGTAGAAGTTGAACACATGTTTCAGTCATTCTAGGTTGGGCCCAAAATTGTACTACTTTAACACAAAGTAAAGAGCCATTTAACAACTAAACGCTAAATGCATGTGACAAATTTGCAAAGTCTATTCCAAAGTCATTTTTAAACTAAAGGACAAAGCATCAAATATAAAATATTGATACTACCTGTAAGGGTTCGTCTTCTGGTTCGTGTTGATTCACAATCTGAAGTACATGCTGTAAATTTAGACCAAGGGGTGAATGTGCAGTCATCTTTGCAAGGCACCAAGCAGTCCTGGACAAGGGGAGGCATGGGCTCTGCCCACTTCAAGCATTCACTCATGTCAACTGAATGGTTACTTTCCAAGACACATGCCACAACTGTACAAAGTAAAGAAAAAATAAGAAAGCATTTGTAAAGAGCTGCAGAGGCACAGAATAAGTCTGGAGGACAATGACTGCATCACATCCTAATGGAAATCTTAAATGCAATAAGATGATGAGAATGATGTTGTTGATTATGATGATGATTATTATACGTGCTCCACTTTTTCTCTTCCAAAAACAGACTCAAAACAGCTTACAATAAAACCAATACAAAACAATACAATGATGATACCAGAAGAGAGAGAGATGATTTTTGTTTATTAAAATATGTATATAGATTATTAAAACCACGGAATCTGCCACTCCCATCACATGCTGGATAAGAACTGCCAGGGTGACTCCATAGCAAAACTGTCCCAAAACCCTTGCCGCCACCGAATAATAGCCAGGAGCAGAAGACAGGATGCATCCCGTCTTTCAATAGAAATCTACTGTTTGTGCCAGCTGTTTGACACTTCCCCCCATATGATGAGGTAGGGGGAAAGCTCAGACAGTGTAGGACATGGGATGACAGGTCTCCACACCCCTAGGTAGACACCACCATGATCATTGTGATCCATGGCGGTAGTCAGCGATTCCGGTGACACGTGTGAGAAGGTCCTAGACCTCAAAGGGGAGAGATTTATTTATTTATTTAAAATATTTATATTACACCCTTCTCACCGTGAAGGGAACTCAGGACGGACCACTGCATATACACGGCAAACACTCAATGCCGGGACACAAATTCACATACAATACATAAATATTTTTAAAATTTTTTATCAAAATATTAAAATAGACCATTTAAAACCGTCCTAGTCACCCACATCAAATCTTATTGGCCTGGTCATCTTTACTATTGTCGCTTTATTGCCCTGTCCCGAAAGCTTCGTCCCATAGCCAAGTTTTTACAATCCTTCTAAAGGACAGGAGGGAGGGGGGCGACCTGATCTCACCAGGAAGGGAGTTCCATAGCTGGGAACTGTCTCTCGTCCCCACCAATCACGTCCTCTAGATTCCCTAGAGGATGCTGTCCTTAATTAATGGATGGTTCCTTTGCATGCATTTCAATTCAGCTTCCATGTTCTAGCTAAGCTCTGCTGTTTCATGTAAGTCTGATATTTTGTCCTATAAAGCTGAAGAATGATGCAATAATTGGATGGTGATTCCATTCATCTTCAACAAGCTGGCTGCATCATTAAAAAGATTACTGATTAATCCACACTTTAATGACTATCTGTGTTGTTTTCATTGCCTATACTGCTAGGTTAAACTGCAAAATGAAGAGGAAATGAAATGATATTTAGTGCATTTTTAAAAAAATTAGTAGAATAAGATGTGATATGACAGTATTAGGATCAAAGCTTGGAAGTGAAGAAAAATATCATCAGCAGCATACTGGAGACTTCTTCCCTATTACGAGAGAGTACTTTAATGAGCATATGCAGACCTCTTAAGCAGCATATTGAATCAGTGTATTCATAATGATTCTTAAATGATTTATAGGTCATTTGTAATTTGCTGAACTCTTAACATGCCTCTGAAGTGAAAGCTTGCTCAGTAGCTAAAAGTTACTCTTGTCAGTGATGGAGAATATCCTCTCCGAATCTAAAGCAAGGAAGAGATAACAATAGTCATCCACACTATATTGCTCATCAAACTTTTGCTTCAATGTTGTCATTAAGTACAGCACATATGTAGAAGAGAAAATGACATTGTACATTGTATTGTCAAAGGCTTGGATGGCCGGAATCACTGGGTTGCGTAGGTTTTTTTGGACTATATGGCCATGTTCTAGAGGCATTCTTTCCTGATGTTTCGCCTGCATCTATGGCAAGCATCCTTAGAGGTTGTGAGGTCTTTGTACATTTTTTATATGCAGCAGTATCTGGTATGCCATAGAATAAACAAACACTTGCTTCTAGATGTCATTAAATGTATCAAAATGCTTCTTCTCAACCTCTGTACGATAAGTCGCTATTTATTTCTGCAAACTACATTTCAGTCAGTTTTTCTGTGTTCTTCTCAATTCCTCCAAGCCAAGTATTAATGCACACTAGAATTGTGCAAAACCCGTGTCTGCAGATACCAATGGCTTGGTATCTGATTGAGAAGAAGCAATCATTCTGCTCTTATGCTTATTGATTTTATCAGTCTCCTAAGGCTGATTTAGACATCATTTTGAATTCTGCTCATTTAGATGGGTTTTGCCATTGAACCTGTGTATTTTGTTAAAGTTTGTATTTGCTTTCATTGTTTACATTTCTGAGCCCCATTGAATTACATTTCTTTTTTAATTTCAAGTACTTTCTTACTTCAATGGACCCATCTTTGTTGACCATTGAATGCAGTTCGAATTGCAAGAGCCAGACTACAAGCTTCTACAAAAGCGGGTGAGGAAAAGCCCTTAATGAACACAAGTGCTCTGTAGTGTGTGTGTATGTATGTATGTATAAATAATGATAATGATAATGATAATGATATGTATATGAAAATAAATGAATTTAGCAATTAGCCTTTGGTTCAATCTCCAAAATATCTCATTATGTACATTCATGTAAATACAGGTATTCCCAATTCTGAAAAAAAAATCTAAAATATGAGATATTTCTAGTCCCAAATATTTTGAATAAGGGATTTTTAACCCATATCTAGTATGCATGTTATTCAGAAATTTGGCATGTTAGGATATGAAACCAATTGCATCACTGGCATTTTTCAGAGTTGCTCATGAGTTTATGCACTTCATAACAAATTAATTGCCTGTTATTCACACTACTCGATCACATCATAATATAAATAGGTAATTTTTTTTTTGCTTAATCTTCTAAATATTTCCAGCACTTACTATAAAGACAATAGTTTTTCTCCTACTTGCTGACTTATGTATATGACAAACTTTTGAAGAGAACAACATGACTTGCTAAAATAAATTAAGCAATTCGCTAGTGATTGTTTGTTAGGGCAATTTAATTGACTCCTAAGTACCATATGTGAATCAGAATGGTTGCAGAAACCCAATTATATATCTACTTATGAAAATAAGCAAGCCATTTTTGCGTGTTGCAAGCAAAGATACTTTAATTAATTCCTTCATGTCCATCAGGGGGTGAACTCTCAAATGTACAAACGTTTTCGTTAAAATAATTGATTGCAGAATGACTGCAACTCCAATGAAGTACTTTAGTATATGTTTCATGTTATGATGGTACACATAATATCTTGCTTGCTTAGTATAAGAACATGGAAACTTGTTTAAGGATGAAGATTTTGTAAAAGGGTGTATGAACAGAACCAACTTGTCTATGGCTATATTACCAGGTTGCCTTTGAATATTGAACTTTAAACATGACAGAGACAAACTGGAACAGTGACATGTGAAAGCCTTCAGTGTTAGTTGTGTTGCTAAACCAGAAACTGGATTGCTCCCTGGATGCTTTTTTGTTTTACAAACTGATATAGCTCAGGATGTTCTTTTAAAACGTTGTCTTTTTACCTGATTTCACACATCAACAGTTCTGTCACTCAACAGTCAATGGAACCATCTGTACTAGGATTAAGAGTGTAGCTACAAAGTATATAATTTTCCTGAGCATAAAGAGTTTCAATGGCTATATAATTATTGTGAAGGAATGGTAATTATAAATGCAATTTTTCTGGGAAAGGAGGACACTTGAGAAAAGAGGAGGAAGAGAAGTGAGTGGGAGAGAGATTGGCCAAATATGAATGAAGTCATTGTAAGGTCAGCATATATAGGAATAAAATACGAAAATAGGGAGGGACCCAGCAGAAAACATAAATCCATGAAATTGATAGCTTCCATAAACTGGTTGTCTTCCAGATACTTTGAAACTTTATTTCACTGTATTTTGGCATGGAAAGTGGACATAGCTTTATGTCTGTGCCCTCAAAAATGAATCATTCTTATAAGATGGGAAACACATTCATAAATGAAAAACTTAAGTGTTGATGGATGATGTCTGACTGTCTGAAGCTACTTAGGAACTCATCACATTGATGAGGTCCAGTGTTTTGCTTCGCTAGTCTCCGTCGCAAATCAGGGTGCAGTGGGGCAATCCTGGTGCCCTGTGCCCTGCCTTGCATCAGCTGATGTTTCCACATCACACATGGGGAAGCATCACCACATTGCTTCTCCCCGCCATAGCCCCGTTGTTTCAAAGGAACATAGGGAGGCTCCCATGTTGGCAACAGAGCACCTTATGACGGTTCTGCTCCAGCTGATCCACAGAAGTGAGGTTACATTGTGTGATGGGTGGAGTGGGGCTCTGTGGGTCAACTGGGACAGAATTGTCCTAGGATGTTGAATTTCCATTGTGTGATGAGGTCCTAAAAGCAACCAACTGAGACAACCATACACATTACCTCCTCAGCCACTGCTTTTGCTGTCCCCTACTACTACTACTGATTTCCTGTTTGCCACCTCCATCTGCCACTTCACTACAAATGTCTTGTTTTCATGGATCCCTCTTTAGAAAATCACTGTAGCTGGCTATGGAGAAGATCATAGAACCATAGAGTTGGAAGAGACCTCATGGACCATCCAGTCCAACACACTGTTAAGAAGCAGGAAAATCACATTCAAAACACCCCCCAGACAGATGGTCATCCAGTCTCTGTTTAAAAGCCTCCACCACACTCTGAAGCAGAGAGTTTCACTGCTGAACAGCTCCCACAGTCAGGAAGTTCTTCCTAATGTTCAGATGGAATCTCCTTTCTTGTAGTTTGAAGCCGTTATTCCGTGTCCTAGTCTCCAGGGCAGCAGAAAACAAGCTTGCTCCCTCCTCCCTATGATTTTATACATGGCCATCATGTCTCCTCTCTGCCTTCTCTTTTTTAGGCTAAACATGCCCAGCTCTTTAAGATGTTTGGCCTGTCCCACAGGTCTCAAAACAAGACATTTAAACTTGGTAGGATCACCAGAATCATGTTCTAGTTGGGTTGCTGTGAGTTTTCCACGCTGCATGGCCATGTTCCAGAAGCATTTTCTCCTG